TCCTTTCCCCTCTCTCTCCAAGTGAGGTTCTTACCCTCATTACCTCTGCCCGCCCTACCACCTGTCCTCTGGACCCTATCCCTTCAAACCTCCTTCAGACTATCGCTCCTGATATTCTACCGTTTCTCACCCATTTCATCAACACTTCTCTAACTTCTGGTCACTTTCCAAACAGTCTCAAGGAGGCAAGAGTAAACCCTCTCCTAAAGAAACCCACTCTCAACCCGTCTGATGTTATAAACTACAGGCCTGTCTCTCTCCTCCCGTTCCTGTCTAAATCACTTGAACGCGCTGTCTTTAAACAACTCTCCTGTTATCTCAATCAGAACAACCTTCTGGATCCGCACCAGTCTGGTTTCAAGGCAGGTCACTCCACAGAAACTGCTCTCATTGCTGTCACGGAGGAACTGCACACTGCCAAAACTGCATCCCTCTCCTCTGTCATCATCCTGTTGGACCTGACTGCTGCATTCGACACGGTGAATCATCAGATCCTCCTTCGCACTCTCCAAAAACTTGGAGTTTCAGGCTCTGCACTTTCCCTCCTCACCTCATACCTCAAAGACCGCACCTACAGGGTGACTTGGAGAGGGTCTGAGTCCGACCCTTGTCAATTAACTACAGGGGTCCCTCAGGGCTCTGTTCTTGGTCCCCTCCTCTTCTCCTTGTACACAAACTCGCTCGGATCAGTCATTAGCCCGCATGGTTTTTCTTACCACTGCTACGCTGACGACACCCAATTAATTCTGTCCTTTCCCCGCTCAGAGACCCAGGTCGTCGCACGCATCTCTGCTTGTCTAGCTGACATCTCTCAGTGGATGTCTGCTCACCACCTCAAGCTCAACCTTGACAAGACTGAGCTGCTCTTCCTCCCGGGAAAAGATTGTCCAACTCTTGACCTGACAATCAACATCGGCACCTCAGTTGTTTCCCCGACTCAGACTGCAAGGAATCTGGGTGTGACCCTAGATAACAACCTGTCCTTCACTGCAAACATCGCTGCTACAACCCGCTGCTGCAGATACACGCTTTACAACATCAGGAAGATACGTCCCCAGCTGACTCAGAAAGCGACTCAGGTTCTGGTCCAGGCTCTCGTCATCTCACGCCTAGACTACTGCAACTCCCTCCTGGCTGGTCTACCTGCATGTGCCATTCGACCTCTGCAGCTCATCCAGAATGCAGCGGCTCGTCTGGTTTTCAACCTTCCTAAATTCTCCCACACCACTCCGCTCCTCCGCTCCCTTCACTGGCTTCCGGTAACTGCTAGAATCCACTTCAAGACACTGGTACTTGCTTACCGTGCTGCGAATGGATCTGGCCCTTCCTACATCCAGGACATGGTTAAACCGTACACCCCAGCGCGTGCACTACGCTCTGCATCAGCCAAACGACTCGTTGCGCCCTCGCTGCGAGGGGGACCCACACTCTAAAAAACAGTGGGTTATTTCATCTACCCAACCATGGGGTTATGAAATGTTTAACCCATTCTGGGTTATTAATATGGTATTGGGTTATTTTTGTGCAACCCAAGTACTGGGTCAAAATATTTTTGTCTACCCAACCATTTGGTTATGAAATGTTTAACTCATTCTGGGTTATTTATATGGTATTGGGCAGGGGCGGCGGGTGCTGTAGCGGCTAGGGAAGGCTAAGCCTTCCCAAATATTTGTGTCACTGCATCCTGGTAAAATACAAATATAGGCTAATGTATAATGTCTGTGTCTTTGACATTAGCGCTGCTAGCCACCCGCTAGCCCTGTACTACGAAGCCAGTTCAACATACCCTGGATATGTTTGAGTAACAAACAAACAAACGAGATCTCGCTAAGCGGTCCTACGACGCTGGTTATCAACTCGGTAAATCAAGCCAGGGTTTCTCTCACCAGATCTGACTTTAATTACATTTGACTCGAGTGTTTCGTGAACATAATGTATTGCTTAAAATAATACTTCTGCATACAGTATGTGACACTGTAAGTGTTGCACGGCCAGATATGGCTGGAGAAGCTGACTCAGATAAGGAAATATATGATATATTATAATATTATATGATCGATGATCTGATTGATGATGTAATATGAATGATAAGTGCGACACGTCGGCGTCTTCTCTGCATACGGCAGTTTAAACTGTATTTCCTTTATCCTGTAATATGACTTGAGAGATTTAAACTCTGCACACTGAGTTGATCTCTTTTCTATAGATGCCGGAGGCGGGCAGCGTCAGGTAAAAAAAGTGATTAAGCCTTTCCAAACCTGAGCCTCACGCGCCGGCGCCGCCTATGGTATTGGGTATTGGTTTGCATGAATCGCAACCATTTCACATGTATTAGATTCATTCATGTTGAGATAAACTGAGACAAAGGGATTAGGGTATATCTGATTCCCACTCCAGAGCAGAAGGTGGCGGTATAACCACCAATAAACTGGATACCAACCACAGTCTATGATACCAACTAATGTAAACAGAGACAAAAATCAATCTACTTTTAAATGTTCACGGTTGTAAAGATGTGAAACAACAAACATGGCTTGAACAATAAGGCATGCTACATTATTGACTGCTCTTGGACACTTCCATGGATGTATTAAGAGAACTCTGCCATGGTTTGATTTTGACCGCGATCTGGCGGGAAAGGGTTTCCCCTGCATCCTGTGTGCACTCGCGATATTTGGGCATAACCGTAAACTTAACCATCATCATCGCGAGAGAGGATCATTGAGACAAGAAAGACCGTTGGCGAAAGTTGGAGGAGGTAAGCAGAACACATTGTCATCTAACTGTGAAGCTGTTAATAAATGTCATCAACTGCTAGTCCATGAGCGATATTGTGGTAACGTTGATAGTTAATTTGTTATTTAGTGTTATTTTTTATCTCACTTAAAAAGCCGAATGAGCCGACAAACATGCTAAAGCTAACGTCGTTAACTAGCTAGTCTGTGTAACTGCCAGTTAGGGAGATGGTTCAAATATAGGATATCAGGATTGAAAACTAAAGGACGGTAGCATTACCCTGGGAAAGTTAAACGGAAAGTGTGCTACCCCAGGCGCTTATATATGTCAGTAATATCAGCCCCTTTTACAAAGGAATGTTGCGCCGTTATTCGGCTGCGTCACGTAAAGTAGCTGCCAAGCTAGCTGCCATGCGGAGCTGACTGCCACTGTGGTTTTCGCTCTGCAGTTAATGTTACGTGACGGATGCCGCTTTGCCAGTGTCAGTAGTCGCACTCTCTGTCTGATAAGGGGACTGATAAGGTTTGGTGTAAAAAAAAAGCAGGTTCTCTGTAACTTAACTTTCATTGGTCTCTCAATTTTTCACAGCAATTTGTGACTGCAAAAGTTCCTGTGGCTGCTGTCCGTAGTTGGTTAACTAATCTTGCTCTATTGTGGGTTGACCTGTTTCTAGCAGTCACAAAAGTGTATCACTCTATATAAAAATAAAGGCTTTGATATAACCATAAGTCTGCAGATAAAATACAATGCTAATAACCATAGTAAGTGGGGCTCATGTGTGCTAAATACAACAGGTAATACAAATAAATAAATAGGAGAAGCAGACATTTGTCAGTTTTAGTAGCCTCATCAACTGAATAAATTAGCCCCAGAAGTGAGGTTGAAGTCATGCAAATGTACATTTTATGTTTTGTTTTAATTAAGCTCTTTATGTGTTTTTTGTCTCAGATCAATGGACGATGTTGTGTGTGACACGTTGACACAGTGGCAGTTGACAGACGTTATTGATAGATTTAAAGGTAAGAACATGTTTTTTTTTACGTTCACAGCAAGCAGATGGTCTGTATAGCTAGGTAAAGGAATTATTTGAAATGGCATTGACTGCATTGTATTTTATGTTACTGAAAATGCATTTTTATTCCAATAGCTTCCATGTAATTAGCCTCTTATTTTTTGCTGTTCTCCATGGTTTAAATAGATGTCCTTGTTTTTTGTTTTTCAGAAGAGGGAATTGACGAGGAGAGTTTTCTTCTTTTAGACGAGGGGACCATCAGCCAATTGATTCCAAAAGCTGGCCCCAGGCTTAAGTTCCTCAAAAAATGTAGAGGACTTGTAAGTATAGTTAGATCACTGCAGATGTGAGAGGCTACACCCCTCCCCCACACACGCATATTCATTCTGAGGATTTGTTCAAATTTGTGAGCAGATGGCATATATTTGCTTTAAATGCAAAAGGCAAATTCCAGGGGATGCCAAGACTCTCTTTCAACATTTACGTGCAGTACATCACGTAAACCATTCATCAACATATTTCCAATGTAGTGAAACTGGTTGTGGTAGAACATTTTCTTTTATAAGGTCTTATAGAAGACACCTATTAAAGGAGCATGAAAACCAAAGTGATACCCTCGATGATCCCCTTGAAGGTCCAGCCCAGCCTGTTGACATACAGCTTGCTGAAAATGAGCCTGTACAGGGAGATGAGGAAGTTGAGGATGAATGGGATGAACTAGGGCAAGATGACATGACCAACCGGGTAGCCCTTTTTTTAGCTCATCTGAAGTCTAAACCTTCTGTAATTAGTAAGGATGATCTAAAAAAGGTTAAAGGCGCCATGCATCAATCAGCAGCTCAAATGTGGTGCCTACTTAGGTTGCTGCCGACAATGATAGGTGACCTGGTCCCCATGCATAGCAAGGAATGGAAACTTCTCCTACTGTTACTGTTATGTATGGAGTTCATCTTCTCTCCTTCTCTTACTGTTGAAGCAACACTGTACTTAGCTAAAATCCTTGAAGAGCATCACTCTCTCTTCCTGCAGCTCTATCCTCTTCACCATTTGCTGCCAAAACACCACTTCATGCTCCATTACCCAAGAGCCATTCAAAAGCTCGGACCCTTGACTCAGTTTTGGGCTATGAGATTCGAAGCGAAACACAACTTTTTTAAACGGGTTAGCCATGTAACATGCAACTTCCGAAACATTTGCAAAACCATGGCCTTTTGCCATCAGATAGCGCAGTGCTATAATTTGCTGTGTGGAACTGTGTTGAGCCACAATACAGAAGTCGGTCCAGGGCACACTACCTTTCTGGCCAACATTGAGGGAGTTAAAGACATCGAAAGTGGTCTAACAGGCATTCCCCTTTTCAGTGAATTGTATGAACCAGCCTTGGTTACCTTTAAGGGAACTGCATATCGAGCAGGCATGACTGTATTCCTGTCTTATGACCCAGATGGGGAGCCCCAATTTGGTCTCATAAAGTCCATTTTAGTACTAGACCAAACATCACACACACCAACAATAAAACTTGTTGTACAGAAGTGGGAAACACAATGGTTTGATAGGCATTTCTTTGCATACAGTGTGATTCCCACTCAAGTTTTGGCAGCTGTTGATGTGAGAGAGCTGCTTGATCACCATCCCCTACATGCAGTGAAGTCATTCAGCGAGACTGATGACAGTTTATACATTTCACTGCGCTATAGACTTTTTTAGAAAATCAGCTTACTGCCACCAGGTGTGTGTACAGTAGGTATGACACTTTGTAAATAGCATTTTGACTCGTCAAGTCCATTTTTTCCTGCCATATTTGTTTAGTGGTTAGCTATAAATGCTGCTTAAAAGGTGCCTTTGGACTACAGGGATGATCATGCGATGGAGTACTGGGATGTTTCTGTAAATACTGGGATGGATGTGATAAATTGTACAGTAAGTATTTTTTGTTTAATCTGTCTACATATCGTTGCTGTTGGGCAGAAACCTTGTGTCTCCATATTTAAACTATGTTTTTTATATTTGTAAATGTACTAATTCGTCATAGTGTTGTACAAAAGTAGTTCAAATAGATCTACAAGCTCCCAATGTCAAGAGCTTGTCGATTGGCTATTTCACAATTTTTAAATGTTAAAAATTATAAAAGGAACAATTTTGGACATACACGGTTTCCACCCGACGGTGACGATGTACAGTAGTAGTCACTGTCAGTTAAGAAGTTACATGTTTGTTTTATATCTTTTTCAATTTGCCGCAGATCTGCATGGTCCAAACTTGTCGCATTTTTCATTCACTCGGGTGAAGGGTTTCTGAGTGGTTTTGTGTCTGCTTAGGGGTCAATATAAACCATACTTTACACAGGTCTCTGAATTTATCAAAACTTTGGCGTGGTGCATATCTCTCACACCATGCATACTGTGTGCAGTCTTCTGAGTCCGCTGGTGTGGTACACTGATTTACATTACTGATGCTCATCCGGCAATTCTAGGTGGCTGTCACTGTTTGTTACATTAACCTGGGTTCTGTTTAGATTGAACCTGCTGTGCCACCTACAAGTCCTGATGTCCAACCAACTGCCACAACTCCACCCTCCATGGAGGACCAAACGGCACCTGTCGTACCAGCGATGATACCTCAAACACTACATATAATTCCACAATTTGTAAGCTCCACTTTTTAAGACTTGGGTTTCACTTTTTTCTTTAATCAACACTAAAGAGTAATAAACGATATCTGTGATGTTGTCCCTTCTTGCAATTTTCTCAGGATATCCGCCAGATTCTCACAGGCTCAACTGAAGGCAAGCTGATCCTGGGGAGCCTTGATGAGGATGTGATCATCCCTTCGCAAAGAAAGTGCCTTGTCCGTATTTTGGTGTCTCACCTCATGGAGAAGTTTGGAGAGAGGTAATTAAAAATAGTGGGTTTTTTTTCTTGTTTTTAGTGAATGTTATGTTAGTTTGAAAAAGGTATATGAATCTTCTTTCAGGGGAAAAGAATAAGACGGGACACTACTTTCAAGTCTGACCTTTACCTAGACCACCAACATAAACATGCACAACACATGTACCAAAACACACGTTCAGTAGTGTTTTTAATTTATTAGGATGCCTATTAGCTGCAGAATATGCTACAGCCATTATACTGGGGTGCAACACATGTTTTAGAAATACTTAAGATCTAATTTGACTCTGCTGGTAATTTAGTTTTTCTGTGTTTGCAGTCCTACCAGTGAGACAAAAAAGGCCTTGGCTGCAGCTTTGATTCATGGGTTTCCCTCCTTGAAGGACGAGTCGGACTCAAGCAGTGGTTTCGTAAGTAATTAACATTTTATTGAGGAATTGATGCTAAAACAGTCAGTTGAACACAATATAACTCATCTCCCAGCACCAGAGTACTGGACTTCTGTGCTGTTTGATGCCCGGTGTTGTCAGACAGACATACAGACAAACCCTGTTCTAGATGGCTCAGCCACATGTTGTCGCCACGCTATCAAAATGTGCCTCATCTCTATTCACCAAAGACTTTCATTTCTTGACAGGGATACTGGTTCACCCCAGGACGGAACCGCCGCCCAGCCACTGGATTCCTCGAAGAGAGGCTTCGGAACGTCAGAAAGAGGATGAGAAAACCGGCCAGGTCACAGAGCACGCAGCAGACACCACCACAAAGTAGTGAAGCTAGCACTCGTAGGACATTCATACCAGGTAATCGTTGGAACTGAATAATTTGTTTAAGCAATACAGACATATAATTTGAGATTGTTAATATCCTTATGTGTACTTTTATAGAATGTACCATATCGGAAGAAAGAGCCATACAGTGTAAAGAATGGCTGAAACACAATTCGCAGCCCCTCAACCAGGTGGAGCAATACATGCAGGATACAGCAGTGTACAGGTCAGTAGGAATGCACTGAGGACACTAGCTGCAGCACTCATTCAATGTCATTTTGCCTATGCATGCACCTCATGGTACTGTAGCACCTCAAGTCATTCAAATCTGAACTACAGACTTCTCAAAACAAACTACTACTAGACCTCTCACACCTATGACCTAACCCCTGCTCATTATGATGCTATAGTGGGATGGCTCAGGGGAGGACAGAGTACAGCAACTTGCAATGGGCCTGGTTTTCAAGGGACCAGTGCCATGTACCTGTCAAAATAAAAGGGCACAACACCAGTGGGAGCTCCATTACTCTCCCCCCCCCCCCCCCATAATCGGCACAAACATGGGGATGAATGCATTTTACTATTATGCTACCAAAATGTGGAACACCCTACCACCAGCCATCAAGAAAGTGCAACTCCTTACCCTCCAAAACTGCTATACAAGAGCACCTGTCTGCAACTGCCCTCAGGGCTTTTTGTGATATCCTTTTAACATTCTTGTACTGCTGTACTTTCTGCAAACTATCAAACAGGGCCAAGTCTTTAAGGGAAAACGGGTGGGACATTCAAGGGATCCGCCAAGAGTTCCCACATCTATTCACTCCAGGCATGGTAAGTTAGGAAGGAGTATATGTTTACATATGATGTGGATGCATTGTTTATAACAATCTTTTATCAGTATGTCAGCTGCCACATTGAATTTTCTTTTTCAATTTTTCATTTAGATTGCACAGGACTTTCAGATCCTACATGGAGAGGCTGCGCCTAAGCTCTTCGAAACCTGGCTACCTTTGTTTAAAGACAAGATCCTGCACCTGGCGAGACGGGAAGGGAAACTTATCTCGTCGCTTGATGGATTAACACCCGGTAATACATTGTTATATTGTACAGCAGACTTTATTTTGCTACTAAATGACCAATTCACAGATATGCCATGCCACATATTGATACCTATAAAATTGTCTTCCTACAGATTGTTTGGGGGAACTTGCTCTGAGCCAGTTACCAACACTGCTTCCACCAACTGTCTACAGGGTTGGCCGAAAAGTGTTCCGGTACACTATCGAGGAGTCTAAGTTGGCCTTCATTGATCATAAGCCTGTAAGTCCCTCTGCATATCTAAAGGGAAATGTTATTCTTTTAATCACTTGAACCCAGCATCCATATTCTTGGGGGGGTGGCGGGGACATTAGCCAAACATGGCAGCTAGATCGGCTATTTTTGGCGAAGAGATTTGGTGAAGATGGAAAACAGTGGTCTAAAGTACAGAGCCAACCCAGGTCCAGTTGAAGTGGTTAAGAATGTGCCTGACTGCCTGTTATTCCTGGGCTCAAGAATAATTCAAAACATTGTTTCTGAATATGCATTGTATCAGCCACTGCCAAATCTTGCTTACTCTTTGCTTTTGCACAATCTTTTACTTTGTTTAATTTATCTTGTCTTTTGTTCTTTATTTCTTTCTCAGGTTGGAACAAACTTGGTGGAGTACCTCCATGAGGCGAAGGTGTCAAGACCTTACCCATATGTCCTGTCCCTGGGAAACGATATTTGGCACACCTCTCAGGCGTTCGTTATTCTTGATGGGGAGGCGTTGGAACAAAACACATTGCTTCAGGCAGTAGATGTCTGTTTCAAGGTATTCTATATCTTTGACATCGACTACACAAAGCAGTGTGAAGCTGTATGGAAATTCCTCCAAAATGCAGTGTACGAAATCAAGGGAGGAGAGGAGTCAAAACCTGCTACGTCCTTGCGTGCAGCAATACTTGCTTGCAAGTAGACTTGTGGTCTTGATCCTTTTATTTTCTTCTGCTGGTCCTCCTGTTCTATTCTCTCTCTTCTGCTGCTTGGCTCAGAGTAGGGTTCTATCTGGTTAAATTAAATATTGCTGGATTTGTGAAGTGTGTGTGTGTTATGTTCAAAATACTACCTAATGCTCAAAGTATTTTATGAGCAAGTTGTGTGCTAAAAAAAGAGCTAAATGGTGGAAGCATAAATTGTTAAAATGTTTATTTGCACATCTTAGTTTCCTGTAGTTCGGATCACCTAAAGGAGCAGTACATTGTTGTGATCATGTTGGAGGATTTTCTTTGTAACGTTTACATAGCCAGTATATGAACCAGTCATTTCTGAAAAAACGTATGTTGCTATTAGTGGTTCTCAAACCAGAGCTTGTAGATCTGCTAATGTGTGTTGTTTACAGGCTGTACTGTACATGCATAAATGTTAAGTTTTGTTTAAAGAAAGTTTTGCACTTTATTGTGAACTGAATATGTTTGCACTTTATTGAACTGTCAATTGTTATAACAATAAAATGAATATTTTTCTAAGATTCCAACATTGTTTAAAAGCGTTTATTGCATATTATATTATTTGCATGACCAAATATAGGATGCATTTTAAAAGGGTTTGTAATTTAAATGTTTAAGAGACATGGGTATTGCATTAAAAACATGACGATAATAACTTGTAGAATTAACCCATCGCAGCTATTATGACCCAGCATTTGGGTGTAATATTTAACCCAATTCATGGTAGAATTAACCCAGGGCTGTAATTAATTTGACCCAGCATTTGGATTAAATGTATAACCCATCTGCTGGGTTAAAATACGCAACCCATTTCGTTGGGTCAAATTAACTACTGCTGGGTTGGTCCAATATTGATCCTGGCGTTGGGTTAAAAAACGACCCAAATTGGGTTGTTTTTAACCCAGCATTTTTTAGTGTGCAAGTTCCCATCGGCGAAAACACGTGGGTTTGCTATCCTGGCTCCAAGATGGTGGAATGAGCTCCCCATTGACATCAGGACGGCAGATAGCTTGCACATCTTCCGGCGCAAACTGAAAACTCATCTCTTTCGACTCCACTTCGAGCGTTAGAACGATTAACGAAGCACTTTTATACTAATAAAGGACTGGATTACCTAAAGCCAGTTGAGTAGCACTTGAAATGTTTGGCTCTATGAAACCTGATATACTTATATGATTCTGTTTTCTTCAAGGTTGTGTCTTCCTGGTCGAATGTACTTATTGTAAGTCGCTTTGGACAAAAGCGTCAGCTAAATGCAATGTAATGTAATTTGGGTGGATTTTCCATATCTTTGGCCCCCCTTGGTCGATTTTGACGGATGAAATCTCTTTATAACCACTAGAGCCAATGGAATCGAGGGGAAGTTCTACACACACCAACACATGAACAAATAAGGAGTGAGAGTGACGCGTGGCCAAAACCGGAAGCTGCACTCTGGTGGCTACCATTAGCAGCTACATTTTTTGCTCCGATTTTTACATAAAAATGGAATTATGGATTATAAATAATTGTTTCAAAGCCACAGATACACTATTAACCTATGGATCAACCAATTCAGCCGCGTTTTTTCTCGTTTTAATGCCATTGAACACGTCTTTTGATCAGATTGACAGCTACGGTGAGACGATCTCCCGTAAAAGCTCCGTAAAGGTACGTGTTGTGATGTCTGTGTTTGCTTCCCCTGTCGCGAGTTCGTATCGCTTAGTGATGATACTATACTTAAATAATCTGTTGAGTCTCAGCTTTAATCGGATATATTGTATGTGCAGTTTCAATAAGTAATAAGGGTATCTTTATTTTGAATTCTGTGCTAAAGTGCGTTAGCATTTTTTCGCTTAGTGCTAATTCAGAGGCTTGGTTTAGGTCTTGTGTTTTGTTTTGGTAACAATTGTTCATATCTTCAGTTAGCTGAGATTCTTCCCGTTAATCTGGTGCTACATATTAATAGTTTAATAAATGTTAAGAAGCCCTGAGACTGAAAAAAAACGGTGGTGGGGGGGGGGGTCCACCGTGCTTAAGAGGTTACAAACTCTACTTAGATCTAATATAAATATGAGGTTAGTCCAAAAGGAAAAATTAAGTTATAACAAAGTAATAAATGTTGTGCGGTCTTCAGAATGAATCATATTATTACTTTGTGTGAATGTAAATATATATCTTAGACGGAAGCAATGTTTTTTACTTGACTCAAATAATATTAGCTGTAACAAATTAACGAATTTGTTGGAAAAGTTGGAAAGTTGATCCAAAGTATCAATTTTTTCAGTATACGTCAGTGGCGAGATAGGCTACTGATAGTGTGCTCTCAATGGAAAAAAATAACAGCAAGACTCCAGATGAAGTCGGATGTGTTTGTAAATAGATGGACTCCTGTAATCGATCATTTTGGGCTACAATTGTGAAAAGGTGCTGTAAAGATAAGGGTGGCCTTGAACAAAACTAATTCTTGTTTATTTTAATTTATTTGTGTGTTGCCGATTCAATATTTTCTCATTCCTCTTTGTTTGGATGTATCTTATAGGATACCATGATGTATAATTCTCTGTCTTTGCTGAACTGTAAGTAATTGTTTGCTTTTTTTATTTCAACAATGTAAAATCGATCTGCATATGGTTGAATGAACATAAAAGAAAGCTGCAGCTGATTCAGAACGCGGCTGCCCGTGTCCTCACAAACACTAAAAGAGTGGATCACATCAGTCCAGTACTGAAGTATTTACACTGGCTTCCAGTCTGCCAAATAATTGATTTTAAAGTACTATTGCTGGTTTTTAAAGCACTAAATGGTTTAGGAACAAATTATATTAATGATCTCCTGCAAAAATATGAACCATCCAGGAGTCTCAGGTCTTCTGGGACGGGTCTGCTCTCTGCTACAAGAGTCAGAACTAAACATGGAGAAGCAGCATTTAGTTTGTATGCCCGACCATCTGGAACTAACTGCCTGAATCCTGCAGGTCAGCTGTGTTATGATCACTGTAAAGATTGCAGAAAAGGTAGGACCCAAATGCAGACTACAAAAACGGAAAAAAGGTCTTGAAACAAAAAGCGAGCTTTATTTAAAAGCAGGTAAACAAAACATGGCATAACTTGAAACGGTAGTACAGAAAACAACAACACAAAAACTGACCGTGAGAAACATGGAAGAAGACCAGAGAGAAAAACATGAAGTGTGACGGGAGGACAAACAAACAATGAACCGACCGGGGAACACAGGAAGAGACAAGACTAAATACAGGGAGGGGTAATCATGAGACGAGAAACAGCCGGGCAGGGGAGGCAGAAACACAAGGGCAACAGGTGAACACAATTAGACAATCAGACACACCAGGGAAACTAACGACAGGAAGGAAAACACAGGGAGAAGGACCAGACAAGAAACAAGGAAACAAGGAGGAAAACATGAGACAGGGAGAACAGAACAGCAAAACAAACCCAAATCTAGACATACAAAACTAAAAACGTGACATAACATAAAGATCGTGACAAGCTGCAACTGTTGATACTTTTAAATCGAGATTCAAAACTTATCTTTTTGACGCTGCATTTGGATGAGTTGTTCAAATTCAAACTGCAGTATGTATTTTATACCTGTTGTGTTTTTATTATCTTTGCTTTTTAAATGCCTGTTTTGAAATGCCTTTTTATAATGTGCTTCCACTTTATTTGTTCTTAAATGTCTTTTAGTTAAAACGTACCTTGTAATAAACGTAATTCTTATTCTGACTAGTTGCTGAGATTCACCACAAACCAATGTTACTATTCCTTTAAGCTGGAGTCTGCAATTCTGGAGAAACCTTCTTGATATTTGAACTCAACATCCAAATAAATTCCTCCCTTTATATTTATGGTCCTTCTTACTCCCATTTCTTGTATCTTTATTTGCATGGCCTTGCTGAAATTGTGTTTCTCATAGGTTTGAACCAAAAAGTTTACCAATTTATTTCTAACATTGAAATTGATTAAGTTCAATCAATCAATCAATGTTTATTTATATAGCCCAATATCACAAATGTTACATTTGTCTCAGTGGACTTTACAGTTTGTACAAAATATCAGTAGTTACATTGTGAGGGTCTATACATCTTTTCTCAGAGCACCCAGATTTACTTTGAGTGGCCACATAAGTGCTTCATGTCGTAAACATCTATATTTTCAGAAAGACGCTGTGCTATTCCTGTAGCGCCCTGCCCCAGCGCCCCGCCGTCCCGCCCCAGCATCCTGCCCCAGCCAAGCTTTTTTCAGTGTTATTATAAGACTCCTTTCAAGAGCAGAGCATGTCAATAGTCCATTCCTGTTATGTGTGAATGCAGCATAGCTACTTCAAGAATAGGTTGTTGCCTTGCAAGGTACAAATAAAAAGTAGCTTCTTCACCACTAAGGTTGATTGACATGACTGACTGAAGTGAATAGAAATAAAAAGGCCAGGCTGCCATTCAACAGACACACGATACTTAGAGACCATCGAAGTGCCATACATTACATACATTACATACATTCAAAGCCCTCAACAACCTTGCCCCCCTACCTCTGTGACCTCATCCAACGACACACCCCCATCCATCGCCTCAGGTCTGCTGAAGCTAACCTACTGCAGCCCATCAGGGCAAAGCTCCGGACCTAGGGTGACAGGGCCTTCGCTGCAGCCTCCCCCACACTCTGGAACTCCCTCCCCAGCCACGTCAGATCTGCCAACAATCTCACATCATTCAAACAATCCCTCAAAACTCACCTTTTCACTCTTGCCTTCAACTCCTAATCCGCTAACCCCTCGCCCTTATTCCACCTAGCTTAGCACTTTTTACTTTTGTTGTTATTTTGTTTTAATTGCTTGTACACGCTTTGATCACCAGGAAAAGCGCTTTATAAATGTATGTATTATTATTATACATCTCAGAAAGCTGCATACGTCAAAATAAAGCCATGAGGTTTGGTCTGACTCACAGGTGCAGAAGCTTTCTTTATGGTTATGCTGGGAGTCGTTGCCCTCAGTGTTCCGTTGACGCCATGGTAGTACCTGAAGCAGACCTGGGTCTCACCTGAGAAGGATGAGATGAGAGGGAAAGAGAGGTATAAATGATGAAGAGAAAATTAAACGATAATTAGTTATCTTTGCACCACATTGTCATTTGGACCTTGATACAAAACAGGTTTTGGGGTTTAGATCTTTTTTTATTAGTATACATTTAAAGCTCACCTATTATGCTATATTTGAACAATATATTATGGGGCCATATCTATACAAAACATGTCTCTGAAGTGTTTTGCTCAAAATACCAAACACATCACCCATTGTAGCATGCCTCATACCCCTCTATTCCAGCTCTGTTACAAAAGTGCTGATTCTGGGTCTGGCCCTTGTAATGTAACCAGGCTGTAACCAGGATGCTGCTGCTGGCCCAGTCCTTTTTGAGCGTCCGCATGCAAGCAGTGAGCTCTGTGAAGAGAAGGGTGTCTACCGGCAGAAACTCAGCTAAACACTGCCCTAATTAAACGCCAAATTATGTTCCAAACCAAATCAAGCACTATTTCTGAAACAGTTCAAACGATTTATATCTCGCCGATTACCATAAGGACAGTTCCTTTTATATCCGGCTTCTTTACTCATATTCTCTCCAGTACAGCGTTAGCTCTGAGTGTTAGTGATGCTTGCTAATGTAAACACAGACCATATTACTTCCAAAACATGTCGCGCATTGTTTCTGATACAGCACACAGCTTGACATGTTCTTTATTCAGTGTTTCCCACTAGAACATTGCCATTGTATTATGTATATAACATCTTTACTCTAAGTCACTCTCGTAGACACTCTGCTGAATAAACAGACAAACAGTTGCGGGAGGTGATTCAGCTGCAACTGTATATGGGGACGATAGGTTGGGCCGTTGCCAGGAGTTCAGTGTACTGTAAAGCCAGCCCACATGTTAGTAATGGCGTGAAGTTCTCAGAAAATCTGGATCAGCTCTGCTGTACCCCTGTTTTTAGAGACCTGGGTAATGATGAGTACCTCGGTTTGGGGGTCACGGTTCGGTACGGGTTCGGTACAACAAGAAAAAGCTAAAAAAAAATCCCAAATGCATAATTCCATGTTTCTTGTTATTTATTTCTGAACACTAGTGCAAGTGTCAGTAGAAAAATAAGGAACTTTAACATTTTGAATAATTAACTGTATTACACAGTTAAAAACAAACCACAAACAGTACCACACACACTCAGATGGCCATATTATCTAATGACTGATGTCAAACAAAAAGGTTAGTCTTGAAAATATTACAAAATAAATATGAGTGTTTCAAGGGCGCATAGCCGTTGAAATATATATGCCAATACAATAGCTTCCGTTATTTATTTTGGTCTCTCGGCTTTCATGTCTATTGGTTTATTAAAAACAGCAGGGATAAGCTGTTGAACTGCTGTTGTCTTTTGCCGGGCTCCGGTGATTGGCAAATGTGGGTGATGCCTTCTGATATGATTTTGCATGTTTGGCGGGTGTTACCATGAGCATACCGCACCGCTGTCGAACAACGCCGACACACCGTCCTCGTCCGATCCACCACTCGCACTCCATCGTTATTATTCGTAGTGTGACTGCATGTGCCGAACCGTGACGTCCGAACCGTGACGGTTCGGGATGAATACGGATACCGTTACACCCCTAGTACATGCCACCTTTATTTAGTGGGAATGTTGACACAGCATTCCAACTATCTGTTATGCTACGCACACAATTCTTTATTATTTCGCCGGGTTATTTTGCGCTGCTTCTTCTCCCACATTGAACATCGCAGAAACTCCGTTCAAACATCAAAACGGTCAGCTCGGTCGGGAATCAATGGCTATTACTTTTATCATTCATAACATCCAACAACAATCTTCAAGCAACTTCAACTGCTAACTGATCCTTCTTCAACTGCTAACTGCTCCTTCATACTTTCACTCAGAAACCTCATTCCAACTTTAAAATGTCACACATCTTTCTGACATAATTCGTGTAACACAACTTTTAAATCTGAATCTTACTTTTAGAGATATCAAACATTGTTCAGACCTTGGTAAAGAGGCCTTCTTCCGATTTTAGAGTGCGTGATGTCACAGCTAGAGTGGAGGACAGATTTTGCCTTCATATTTTTCTTTTAAACCTGCCATAATTCCCAAACCCTACATCCCTGAGACATAATTGTTCATGACAAACATAGGAGAACATCTCGTAGCTTGAAAGATAAAAAAAAATTAAGCAAAAATAATTAAACAAAATGCCTCTTGAGGGCATGAAGTGACAACAACTTTCAACATGTCTCCATTAAACTCCACTGTAAATGCAGGCTGCTCTTTCCCCACCACAGCAGCCTTTAGTTAATCTGCCAAAAAGGCCATATTATTAACACAAAAGTACACAAAAAGTACACTTCAGATGGCCAAGTTCCTTGACATGCTTCACGCTTTGAAATGTCACCGATATCTGTTACGGTTCTTCAACAAAACGTTCACATGTAACAGATTTATCTCTCATTCAGAACAATGAAAATGCTTTCCTCTCACTAATCACCATGGAAACCTTTGATCTCCGGACACGTCGTTAGCTCAAATATAAACACCTGTGTCATGGAACACGATGATGTCATAACTCCAATTGACATAATTAGAGCAGCAGACTAATGACGTGGTCACTGGAGTTTAACAGACTGTCTCAGCCTATTCTTTACTGTCTGATGGAGAATTCATACTGACTTCAACATGTTCTACATATTTTAGACATGTGACGTATGCTTTTAGTTCAAATATTCTGCTGCTTTTTCATGCATTTAGACTTTTATTTTCTTGTTCTTATTTCACATTCAAGTCCCCTCTATTCATGAACCCTTTAAAGTACTCAGCCACACCACTTACAGTATGTGCGACTGTTGCTATGTCAGTTAATCTTTCAAATACAAGTTGCTTGTTTGATTCAAGCTCTTGTAGTCAATATGTCAAGGTATTTATCCCTAACATTTTATCAGCTAACTAATGACACACACTCAGAGGACCTTTATAAACCTTTTAAGTATTGCACATCTTAAACATGACTCTTATAAATCACTTTTAAAACCAGCGATGCACTACAGTGTCAGCTTTTCTAAAATAGAAACTTCAATGTTCACATCTTTCTAAATGATTCTACTTTTCAATGACCTACAAATAATCCTAATAATAATCCCATTTTCAATCTTCCAACTGTTCATATTTTTTTGGTCAATTAACAAACCTGTTACAAATGTGTTGTTCAACAAATTTGAGCATTTGCCAAATGTATTTGATCACCATGGAAACCTTTGATCTCTGGACACGTCGTTAGCTCAAATATAAACACCTGTGTAATGGAACACGATGATGTCATAACTCCAACTGACATGCTCAGAGCAGCAGACTTCAGATAATGGTTAATGGTCCTGCCCTCAACAGCTCTACGTCAATTATGGGGTGTCATCATATGCCGTATCCATGGAAACGCATCCCTTGCCATAAAACACGATGTCGCTGTAACTCCAATGGACACGGTCCGATCGTCCCCCAAACTTCGCTTGTATATCACCGGTCCAGCCCTCAACAGCTCTACGTCAATTATGGGGTTTCATCATATGCCGTCTCCATGGAAAGGCATCCCTCGCCATAAAAGACAATGTCGCTATAACTCCTGTTCAGAAAGTGCTCAAACTTCACATGTGTGCTAACAGTCCAGCCGTGAAGACATCTACGGGACATTTTTTAGATTTCTTCAAATGCTGTTGCCATGGCAACTAGGGATGTAACGATATACCGAATATCGCGGTATCGCGATAAATAAACGTCCCAATACCGTCGTGAGACTGACAAAATCTACCACGATTAAAAAATATATATATTTAATTTTTTTAATTTTTTAGAGATCATCGATCTCTTTTTCAAGAGAGACCTGTCCAACATGGCAGCAAGTAGGTTACAACATGAACATAAAACAACAGAACACAAAAAGACATCGTATTTACAGGGCTACATTTACATACCTAGAGACATTGACAAGTACCAACAGTATATTTATATCTCGCCCTGTCAATAAGCCTCACCTTCTTGGCAAAAACTGTATTGTTTTTGAAGTGGTGGAGAGACAATGCACAGTTTGACCCACTGCTGTCACCCATGGCCAAAGCATATCTCTCTGTCCCACTGAGGTGGCGTTAGACTTTTTCGCTGTCCGTCATTTTGACGGACAGGATCGTAAAATATCCGTCATAATCCATTATTACCCGTCGGGTCTGAACTCGCCACTAACGTGTCGCGCTGACACGGGGGGGGGGGGAAGAGAGAGAGCACGCTTGTGAACTGTCAACGGGGGGGGGGCGGTGTTATGCCGTGTTATGCATGCCCACCGAGATATGCATGCACCTCGCGGGAGCGCGCACAGCGTAAAGCAAAAACTCCCAGACATTTCAATGATCTGTACGGCAAAGTACGGTTTGGAAACTATATAATTTCCTTTTGGAGAGCATGCATAACACGGCATAACACCAGAGCCTCGCTGCGGGGAAACTTTGGCGCTGTTCCGAGTTTGTTCTAAGCTGTCAAAATGACAGACTGCTTTCAGATTTTTCCGTCATTGTTAAAAAAAATATTCGGTTAACGCGACCACTGCTGTCCCAGCAACATCAGTACCAAGCGAGAGAGTTTTCCACAGCAGGGGATATTGTAAACTCCCAAACATCCCAGCTTCTACCTGGAAATGTGGACATGCTCATATTCCTAAAAACCTGTCTGATGATGCTGAGTGAGTGACTTAGTGAGTTTGAGTTGAATTACTTAAAAAACTAAAGTGAAAATTGATTTATTTTATTGCGGGGTCTGATTATTAAATGTCCTTGTTTATTTGTGAGGTGCAGTGGCACAAAGAAAATGCCTACTTTGTTTGGTAGTACTGGTTTTATTGTTCCAGTCTATTACTGTCACTTTGTTTTTGACACTTTAAAATACTGCTATCCTACTGAAATGCTGTACAAATCAGATGTATTATTTAATAAAGAAAATATT